CCCCAAAACCCCAAAACCCCAAAACCCCTCAAGTGCATTTTAAGTTGAATTAGGAATTATTTAACTATAAATTTGAATTTAAAAATGAGAAAGCAAACAAGTAGATTACAAGGCAACAAGGAAAATCTTAACTCATCTAACAAAGAAAATATACATACCATTAAGCTCTAAAATTAATCTACAGCATCAAAAGCTAATATATCTTATAAATGATAAGCATAAAATAAGTCATCAATTAAAAAGATATAAATAAATGAATTTCAGCAAACTTTGAGATAAATGTAATCAATTTAGAATCTTATAGACATTTCGTAAAAATACCATATCAGAGATGCGTTTATAGCTCTGAGAGATTCGCATGATTTTTCGATAAGTAGAGATTACCTTTCAAGGTAAAGTAAGATGAGTTCATGCGGTTTTACTTTTGGTAAATTTGAAAATCTCCTCGGGACTAAGAAGGTAATACCTGTCTATAGTCAAAATTAAAATGAACAATCCTTTAATTCAGCTTAAAATTACCCAACAAAAGAAGATTTTGAGAAGAAATTAAATTCCTCACATAGAAGAGGCAAGAGTCACATTCTAATTTCACAGGAAGAAGAAGATATTAGAGATGACTTTAAGCAGTATTCTGGATCATATGACATTAATGAAACATGTGTTACTGAAAATTTTAATAACAACACTTTGAGTGTTGGCAAATCAATATAAACCTCAATATTCCGCAAAAGCTCTTACTGATCAATAACTTCACCATATAAATCTTCTAAGTTTACTACACTTGATTCATAAAGAGAAGGCGGACTTAGAATTACTCTTATCAATCATAAAACAATTATGGGTTTGAACAGGCTAACTACATTTTTTGAACGTTAAAAGCTTAAATCAAAGTTTTACAAGATGAAGCAATTTGATCACATAAATCATAATGATAAATTCCTAGAGTTTAAGCATAAAGTTAGTCAGAGATTTCTTAAATATACCTTTTACGAGCTTAAAGTACTTCAATAATTTAGGTCATTTAAGCTATTGTAAGCTGAAAACCAATGTAATACTCTATTGAAGAGAAAATTAATAAATCATTTGTAGTTACTGGTAAAACATTAAAAAAGAATAAGAAGAATATTTCTTAAAATTTCAAACTTTTAGAATAGAAAAAATAAATAAGGAGCAAAGACATACTTTCTAAAATGGAAAATAAAGTTGCTTAACTTCAAAAACTTTATTTAGGATAGCCAGTAAAATCTTGTCGGAAGATGCTTTAAAATTCTTCAAAGAAATTCAGCCATTGAATTCAATGAAATTAAGTTCAAAAATATAACGCATAAAAGAAAGTTACTATCAAAAGTGAAGATCATGAGAATTTTGAAAAGAAATAGAGTAGCATAGTTAGAGTTAAAGGATAACTATAATTACGTTAAAGAGTAAATCAAAAGAAAAATTTTAATCAAATGGTATAGGAAAACATTTTTCAAAAGTATTCTTAGCAAAATGTTTTCATCTCTGTTTCTCAGAAAGTACTTCAAAAAATTAAAGCTAAACAATATTAACTAAAAGCTAAAATTTTTTACCAGTAATCTTGAACTATAGTTTAAGAAAATAATACTTCACAAATTATTTGAGATTCTACATCAGGATAATCAAACCATACAGAAATATAAACACTATGAGAGATATGTTAAATTGAAAAAATACTTTAGGATAATTAAGGGTTATTATTTCATTAGGACTAAAAAGTTCTTAGAGTTCTAGAAATCAAAATATCTATAGACTAAATGGGGGTTTTAGGATTTTAAAAGATCTCTAAGGCAAAGACTTAGACTTAAGAGATTTGAAATAAAATCCTCTGATTATTATGAGAGGATACTTCAGTTCAAAGCTTTTGAAAGTTTGAAGATTATAACAATTTGGAAACTGTAAAGGACTAAAAAATACTTGTAAAAATAGTATGAAAAGATACTTATCCTGAGTATTTAGAGAGGTTAGTACGAAATAGGCTAGAATGAGTTTTAATCTTAAAATTGTTTTAGAGGCTATATAGAGAATTTATATATGAGATAAAATTGCAATTAATATAATAAACATTCCTTGAGGATACTCAAATCAATTAAGAATTAATGTGATATCTAGTGTAAGAATACAGAAATATAAGGTAATAGAAATTACATGCTTAGAATGCTATTGCATCAGTATTTGGTATAGATAAAGCTAAGAAAGTATTTTAATTCAATGAAGGCACAGATATTTTTTGATAGACACTATAAATATATGATTGCATAGATTAAACGATAGTAGTTCAATAAATAAAAAGTCTATAGAATTTTAAAGGACTTAAGAAAAGCTAGAAGAGTTAAACAGAGAATACTAAGATTCTCTTAAAAAATTTATTGCCTTAACCTAAAAAGAAAGCTTTTTAAACTCTTAAAAACTCTAAAAAAGAATAGCAAAAAATATAAATAAATAAAATATAGAAGATAGTGATGATTTTGATTTTATTTTTTTATTTTTAAAAGAAATTTAATGGGAAATGGGGTTTTGGGGTTTTGGGGTTTTGGGG